ACTGTGAACTTCTCAAGTGTAGAAATGGAATCCTCTCTAGCTCCTAAAGAAATGTCACTTTGTTTTCTATAATAGGAATCTTTGAACTAATTTATGTTGATCCCAGGGCCTTATTTAGTACACTGGGGACTTTGAGAAAATGACATGCTGGTTGATTTTTTAGGTGAGTGGTCAGTTCAGTAAATTGGAGCAGACCTCTGCTTTTTCCCTCTGCCACTGCTGCTGCTCTTTTCATTCTTCTTGATCTGGGTAGTTGGTTTTTTTGGTTTCTCTGCTCAGTCAGTCTGTTGCTTCCCTGTTGTTTTATCTACTCCAGCATTTTACTGCACCCTTTATTGGCTTGTTTTCCAAAGAATTCACCGTCTCCAAAAACTTCCTCTAAAACAATGCCAAACTCTCTTCAGGCTTCTAGAGCCCTGCCAGCTTGGTCGAAGCAGCCATCAGGAAACCAGGGCAGCAGGCAGAGGCTCTGGTTGCTAGAATAAGGCCAGTCTTCCTGACAGCAAGCCTCTGAGGAGCTGGGTCCTGGTTGTGTTAGACTCCTGGTTTCTTGGGTGAACTTGAGTGTACTCACCAATTCCTTACTCTAATAAAATATTTAAGTATATAATCTATACCTATTATCTAAACTTTGTCCTATTTTTTAAAATAGTCCATTTTGTCTTCGGTATAAATGATTATTAAAATACATATAATCTAGGGAGTATATCCACTTAAAGACATACTACTTGTGTTTAAGAGCCATGACCATTTAAAAACAGGAAAACCAAATTTTAGTAAAATTTCCATCTGTTGGGGACCCACTAATTATCTTTGTGAGATAATTTTAAAAATTTTGCTGTTTACCTTTGCAGTATTCATGGGGGGAGAAGGATATTTACCAGACAAACTACAATTGCTTTAAGGTTTTAACTCCTTTCACGGAATAAATTTAATTTTTAAAATTTGTCTTTATCTCTACATATGGTTTAGTTACCTATTAATTATCCATCAATTTGGTCCCCTGAAAACATTTTCATCCATTTGTTAGTCTTATTTGTCCAGTCCTTGTTTCCTCTCTTCATGCTAAAGTTGAATTTCTTTGGAAACCTGTTTTTTTTATATTGCCCTTCAGACGTTACAAGTCTCTTTCTCTGACACTCATGTTGTAGAGTCTAAGTGCGGAAGATTTAGTTTACTGGGAGGACAGTTACTTAACTGAAAATTCAGTAGACAGTTAAAAGTGGCTTCTCTAACAGGACTTAAAATGACTGCATGTTCATCATAAGCGCGTGTAAGCCTTGCAGTTACTTCCATGCTCAACCATCAGTACTTCTTCTCCCCCACTGTAGTCTTCAATGTCAAAAAATTGCATCAAGCTTTTGTGTGAAGATCCCGTTTTTGCAGAATATATAAAATGTATCCTGATGGATGAAAGAACTTTTCTAAACAACAACATTGTCTACACATTCATGACACATTTTCTTCTAAAGGTATGTCATACTACTTTGGAAACTCAGTGTGTTACTTCCAATGTGTTAGTGGTTATATTTTCATTACTTTGGCCTTTTTGGAGACTTTTGTTTTAATCTTTTTTTTTTTTTTCAGGTTCAAGGTCAAGTGTTCTCTGAAGCAAACTGTGCCAATTTGATCAGCACCCTAATTACAAACTTGATAAATCAGTATCAGAACCTGCAATCTGATTTCACCAACCGAGTTGAAATTTCTAAAGCAAGTGCTTCTTTAAATGGGGTAAGAATTGGGGTACCTGGCTAGCTCAGTTGGGAGTGTGTGACTTAATCTCGGGGTTGTTTCAGCCCCACGTTGAGTGTAGAATTGCTTAAAAATGAAATCTTAGGGGGCGCCTGGGTGGCTCAGTGGGTTAAGCCGCTGCCTTCGGCTCAGGTCATGATCCCAGGTCCTGGGTTCGAGCCCCACATCGGGCTTTCTGCTCAGCAGGGAGCCTGCTTCCTCCTCTCTCTCTGCCTGTCTCTCTGACTGCTTGTGATTTCTCTCTGTCAAATAAATAAATAAAATCTTTAAAAAAAAAAAAAAAATGAAATCTTAGGAGCGCCTGGGTGGCTCAGTGGGTTAAGCTGCTGCCTTCGGCTCAGGTCATGATCTCAGGGTCCTGGGATCGAGTCCCGCGTCGGGCTCTCTGCTCAGCGGGGAGCCTGCTTCCCTCTCTCTCTGCCTGCCTCTACTTGTGATCTCTCTCTGTCAAATAAATAAATAAAATATTTAAAAAAAAAAAAAATCTTAGGGGCGCCTGGGTGGCTCAGTGGGTTAAAGCCTCTGCCTTCAGCTCAGGTCATGATCCCAGAGCCTGCATCAGGCTCTCTGCTCAGCAGGGAGCCTGCTTCCCCCTCTCTCTCCGCCTGCCTCTCTGCCTACTTGTGATAGATGGATTTATAGGCTTAATCCTTGGTCAGGCAGAAATCCAGATGAAAAAAATTGCATCTTCAGTATACTTTCTAAAGGGCAATCAGATAATGGCTATGTTTTATGTAATTAAGAGTTCACTGTAGTGGCTTTCACTCTGTCAAATAAATAAATAAAATCTTTAAAAAAAAAAATGAAATCTTAAAAAAAAAATTGGGGTAAGAACTGTGGAAGGGAATAGTCCTGTACTTAAGTACTTTCCTTAAATCAACTCTAAATTCAGCTTTAATATGATTTTTACTATAACTTCAAATTAATATTTTTACTATCATAACTTCAAATTATTCAAACTCTGAAAATCACATAGATGAAAATTCTCTAAAAATATGTGTTCTCCATGCCTTTGAAGTATGTAGTACACACTTTTACATTACCTTGGAAGACATGAGCAAATGTCATTAAATGCTAAGGGCAAGTGAGACCACCAAGAGAGAGACTTTTATCTCCAGGTCATACAGTAATGGAATGCTAGCACCTGTCCAGCAGCAGCCTCCCCAATAACCAAGTGTTGCTTAGATGCCAGACTAGATTATAGAGCTAAGAAACACCTTACTATTTGACACCAGAAATAAGCGTATTTGAGGAATTGTAATATCTAGATTGAGGCCTTAATTTCTCATGGATAATTCAGGGCTTATTTTTTAAATCCTTTTTTTTGCCTTTTCCATTTTCAGAAAACTATTTGAGTCTTCAGTCTGACCTTATTAGTGGCATAATACGTAGAATATTGGTATTAATGACTTAGAACCAATAAAATATGGTAATATGCTAATGCTAGCTCTCTAGTTTTAGCATTCTCTAAAATTGCCTGAGAAACCAGAATGAATTCCTGGGAAAGTAAATGTGTGGTAAACTGTAAACAACTGTGTCAAAATGTTAGCTTTAGAATATGAAATGTTCCCATCTGGGTTTTCTAGGATCTGCGGGCACTTGCTTTGCTCCTGTCAGTACACACTCCCAAGCAATTAAACCCAGCTCTCATTCCAACTCTGCAAGAGCTTTTAAGCAAATGTAGGACTTGTCTGCAGCAGAGAAACTCACTCCAAGAGCAAGAAGCCAAAGAAAGAAAAACTAAAGGTTAGCTTTCTGGACTAATATTACCTTTAGGGTGGGAGAGGGGAAGAATACACTCGGTATAACCGACTTTATTGTAGCTGTCGGTTCAGTTGGGTCTCTTGCATATAATGCTAAAAAGAAACTCTCCCACAAATACTCCCACTGTGATCTTAATGACTCCTTTCAGAGAATGATGTTCATTTTCGCAGATGATGAAGGGGCAACTCCTGTTAAAAGAAGGCGTGTTAGCAGTGATGAGGAGCACACTGTAGACAGCTGTATCAGCGACACGAAAACAGAAACCAGGGAGGTCCTAACCCCAACTAGCACTTCAGACAATGAGACAAGAGACTCCTCAATCATTGATCCAGGAACTGAACAAGATCTTCCTTCCCCTGAAAATAGTTCTGTTAAAGAATATCGAATGGAAGTTCCATCTTCGTTTTCAGAAGACATGTCAAATATCAGGTCACAGCATGCAGAAGAACAGTCCAGTGATGGTAGATTTGAAGACTGTAAAGAATTTAAGGACCTCCACTGTCCCAAGGATTCTAACCTAGCTGAGGAAGAATCTGAGTTCCCTTCTACTTCACTCTCTGCGGTTCTCTCTGATTTAGCTGACTTGAGAAGCTGTGATGGACAAGCTTTGCCCTCCCAGGACCCTGAGGCTGCTTTATCACTCAGTTGTGGCCATTCCAGAGGACTTTTTAGTCATATGCAGCAACACGACATTTTAGATACTCTGTGTAGGACCATTGAATCTACAATCCATGTGGTCACGAGGATATCTGGCAAAGGAAACCAAGCTGCTTCTTGACATTAGATGTAGCATGTCTACTTTTAAGGTCCCCTCTCCCCACAATGCTGTTTGTATAAGTTTTGCTTATTTCTGTTTTTGTGCTTCAGTTTGTCCAGTGCTCTCTGCTTGAATGGCAAGATAGATTTATAGGCTTAATCCTTGGTCAGGCAGAAATCCAGATGAAAAAATTTGCATCTTCAGTATACTTTCTAAAGGGCAATCAGATAATGGCTATGTTTTATGTAATTAAGAGTTCACTGTAGTGGCTTTCACTTCCTATGGCTGTCTGGGAGGGACAGGGTTCCCTGGCCCTGTACAATGTAATTTAAACTTACAGCATTTTTACTGTGTATAATATGGTGTCCTCTGTGCCAGTTTTGTACCTTATAATAGAGGCAGATTGCCTCCGATCGCTGTGGTTCTTATTATCAAAATTAAGTTTACTTGTATACGGAACAACCACAAGAAATTTGATTCTGTAAAGAATCCTCTTTAGCTGTGGCCTGGCAGTATATAAATGGTGCTTTATTTAACAGAATACCTGTGGAGGAAATAAAGCACACTTGATGTAAAAATAATTGTTTTATTTTTATTGACATGACTGATTGCTATTCTGTGCACTTAATTAAACGAATTGTGATGACTTTTCATTTGTTTACATTTAACATTGCTTTAGTCTTCTCAGATGAAAGTAATGAGAAAACTGTGAGTGGGAGGGAAGCACTTCTCCATCATAATTCTCTTTCACTATAGTAGAGGCAGTCCAAAAAGTCACTTACCCCTGAGCCTTTCAGGCCTCCGCCCAGAGTGCAGAACTGCCGTAGGGAGCAGCCTCAGGACAAGGCCCGCTGCGCCTCACATCAGCATGCTTCCGAACCGCGACACGCTACTGCTTCGCTACCTAAGAGCTACAGACCTTAAAAACCCTGAAGTAAAATAAAGGAAGAGTATCGATGTGCCATTTATTTTTTATCTGCCTGAACTAAAAATACAGCTGAAAGCAGCTTGCTAGGACAAGCTTTAGTGGGAAACAGCAACCATCTGTACCCAACGGCTCAGTCTCTCCCCAAAGGAGCGCTATGGGAGGTAAGGTTCATACCCAATATCCAGGTTGCTTGCTACTTTTAATCCAGTGAGAGTCTAGTTGTAGTAAAGGTTCAAACGGTGCTTTGAATTCTGTATAAGCTCATGGATTTCATCCACTATAAATTAAGAGTGTCTTTTTTAAAAGGAATAATGGGGAAGAGGTAAACGACATTTTTCCTGCTTACAAAAAGTAATACCCTTATAAAATCTTCTAATTCAACCATTTAGGGTGGTCAGCCACAATAAACCTTTTATTTCTTCAAAATGCTGCTTCTGCCAACAGAATTTCATGCTCTTCTTTACAGACAGGAACTCCTGAACGGTCTAATTGTAATTCAGTCTGCCCTGGATAGGCACAAAGCTCAGGGCAACTCTTGCATAGTGTTCTGGAAAGAAGATAAGAAGCTTATTACAGCATTACGAAAAGGAAAACTGTCCATATAGTACTACTCCTTGTTATTTTTTTAATAGTGTGTCAGGGCGCTGGGGCATGGGTGTGAGCTTGAGTGTTTCTAGACTCTTACAACAAAGAATACTAGTAACATACCTTCTGGCCAGTTCCTACATCTCCACTTCATGATGATCTTTTTATTTGTCAACTAAAAACAAAGGGGAAATTCCCTTAAAACAGCTTTTAAAACTTCCAATACAGAAAATCCTTTCATTAAAATCCCTGAGCACTTAAAATACTGAGTCAACAACTGTACAGTCCCATCTTCCAGGTTATGCGTCAGCACCAACTGCAAATCCACTGTTCCTGCATGCCAGCACTGACCTCCAGGACAGAAGTGCAGTGACACTGGTAACCCAGAGTTGATGTCAGAGGTGAGGCAATGCAGACCTTACTGATTTAGGTGGCCAAAATGTGAAACTTGTAGAGCATGAGTTAAGAATTCTACTTCTTCTAAAACCATAAGCATTAGCACATCTACTATGCTAAGAACTAAGTCTTCATCTTCATCATTACTATGTGTAACATTTTTTTAAACCAGGTACACATAGCTTTACTATGACCAACTTTATGATGTTCTCAAGTTTCTGTGAGCTCAGATAAAAAAAAACCAAAGCAAGTTTTAAAAGCATGGATTTTAAAAAGCAATATTGGGGTGCCTGGCTGGCTCATTGGGAAGAGCATGTGACTCCTGATCTTGAGGTCATGAGCTCAAGCCCTATGCTGGCTATAGAAACTACTTAAAAAAAATAAAAAGCAATATTAACAAAAGAGTCAGTCCCAGCTTTTCTTTAACCCTAAAGATTACTTACCAATTCTACATATTCACTGGTGATGTTCCCATCAAACATTTGGAATTTCCCTCCCTTTTCAGCTTCTTTTACAGCAGGCTATTTAGAAAATTTTTGCACCAACTAACCAAGCAAACATAGAGCAGACACGTTAGTCTAGTGTGCCCTATCACCTTTTCAACCTAAATCCAAAGTATTAACAGTTAAGGTAGTTTGGGTTTTTTTGTTCTTATCCTTAATCTGTAGCTTTTACTTACAGCTTTCTCTCCCTCTCCCTCAGAGGGAGAAAACTCAGTAATGTATCCCCTAAATGTGGATCTGTTTCCCTAAAATGCCCATCTTTTACACCCTTGAATTTTTTTAAAAGTCATCCTAAAGACTTCTGCCCCCACCGTCTAGATAGATCCCTTAGTTGTTAAGAACATAGCCGTATGGGAAGTGAAAAACCAGCTCCGGTTCTTAGTGGCACATTGTCTCCCAGTGTCAGCACTGAAGATCCTAGCTTGGGAAGTTACTTATGTCTTTCCCAGTGAAGACGCCGTACAGTTGCTCTGTAGTGGCGTCGAAGAGTGGGGTCATGTGCAGTGCCACAATGGGGATCCTGGATCTCAAAGAAGAGAAGAGGTCCGAAGGATAACCAGCATGCCAGGGATCAAGCTACTTAGATTTTAAAAATGTAGTCTCCCACTCTTCATACCAAAATGTCCCCAAATTTCATACTACATGTTCCAGACACATGGAAATAGCACAAAAAGCCTTTTAGCACCACCAATCCTGGTTACCGTGACACAGAGCTCATTGTTCCTTGGAGCTCTTCAGCTTTGTTCCACTCCCAGACCATTGCTTAATATCCCAAATCCTTCCTGGACATGTACATAATGGCCCAGAGGGCATAACGATAAATAGATGAATGACAATAGCACTTAAAGCCAAAGGGTGTCAATTGCCCAACACCAGAGGCCAAGAACAGGACCTAAAACCTCCCAATCCAAAAGGCTGGAGAGGATTTTCCGTTGTGGTAGGGGAACCTCAGAGTTGCTTGGTTTACAATTGTTGCCTGCCAAAGAACCCCACCTTTGACACACAGTCTTGAACTATATATTTATCTCATAAGAAGGCCTATGTATACATTCCCTTCCATCAAGGATAAAAGTCTCATTTCATTATTTCCCCCCAAAATGGCAAGGGATGCAAAGATGAATGAAACAGCCCTCCTCACTAACCTTTTCCAGTTCATCATTTAGGACTCTGAAGCACCCTCATTAAGCACTTCCTTTTACCTCCCTGCATACTGACCTCAGAGGTCATACCTGCAGGGTGTTCTCACTCCGTTTCCTTTTAACAATTCACTTTAATTCCTGGGTTGCCATGGCTTTTCTTGGTAAAATCATTGCCATTGTAAATTCTAAAAAGAAATATAAAGGAAGTGATTTTGATCAAAAAAGCAAAACTTTTTCCCTTTGAGCACCACCAATAAGGTAGAAAATCCAAACAGCTTATAAGAAAATAAGAGAACTGATATTTATAAAGAATTCTTATATCATTGAGAATTTCAAGACCTTACCATGTTTTTAACATATAAAACTAATTATGAACATGAGTTCCATAGGAACGAATGCCTTTTTTTCAAATGCCTCACTTTTATTTTGTTCTTGATAAAAGTATGATATTTTCAATGTTTTTTTCCAGTAGCTCCATTTTATAAACCAACTACTAGACCTTCACCTACTGTCAGAACCAAACACTTAATTGCTTCACCACCACCTCCCAAAGCTTGGCCTCCCAGTATTCCAACCTGTGGGCCAGTCAGCACCTCATACCTTGATAACAGAGTCCAAGGATGAGATGCGGACATACAGGCCCCCCAGTCCTTCTGCCTGGCAGCTGACTAATTTAGGGAAGACGACAACGAATGACTTCACTTCCACACAGTGTAGATACCATCTAGGTGAATCTCAATTATATCTGTAATGCCTCTCATTCCTTCACTCATTCATTCAACAAAGATTTATTCATAAGCACCTACTATGTGCCAGGAATTGTGCAAAAAGCTGGTGATACAGCAGTGAATAAGACACACACCTTCCATGCCCCCTTAGAGCTTACACTCTAGGAGGGAAGATAAACCTGGAACAAGTAATTATACAAACAACTGAATGAATTATCATTCCAGAAAACTCTAAGCAGTTCCATAGGCAAAATAGTTTGCAGTGTATATGATACCAACAGTCACTAATTATGGTCTTACTCGTGACTAGCTCTCAACCTCCAGACTACAGTTTATCCTGCAGCATAAAGAGTTGTTTCGGAAGCCTCACAGACATCACCCTAACCTCGGAATCCAGACCACAGTACAGAGCATAACTTGGGTAAATAGAAAAGGGACCTTCTGGTTCACAAGGGTTGCCTTCTTTACCCGTCTTAAGTGCCTTCAGGTAATCTCCAAGAGCCTCCCTGACCTTGGCGGTGCCTGCAGTTTTCATAAGATCCTTCAGTATATCCCCATCTCCTTTCTTTTTACTCACATTCACCTACAAATCAGAAAAATACAAACCTAAGAAAAATCTGATTTGATGTACTCTCACAACCTGAGGACATACGGCTGGGAGAAGTGCTGTGATCCTGGGGGAAGAGGAAGAAGTGGATATAAGAGAGTTGTGCCAGATTTCTTCACAGACTTTGAGAACGTGTAAGGGTTTTTTAATCAAAGGTCCATTGACTGGGTTGATGGCCAAATCTGGAGAGGACTTCTTAGAAATGTGAACCCCTTAATTTGCATATAAAATGTTATATGTATATGTATTCTATTGATGATGTAGTCACCCCATGGCTTTTATCAGGGTCTAGAAATGCGCTGTCCAGTATGGTAGCCACTAGCCACATTTGGCTGTTGAGCACTTGAAATGTGGCTGGTCTGATTTGAGATGCGTTAGAAGTGTAAAATAATACACAACAGACTTTGAAGACTTAATACAAAAAAAAGAATGTGAAATCTCAGTAATTTTGATACTAATTACATGTTAAAATGGTATTTTTATATATTTGATTAAATAAAAATATTAAAATTAATTTCACCTGTTTCTTTTAACTTTTTTAATATGGCTACTAGAAAAATTTAAATTCTGTATGCGGCTTGCATTGTATTTCTATTGAACAGCGCTGGTCTAGAACCCCAAAGCCAGTGTAATTAGGAAAATCAAGTTCCCACAATAACGTGGCCTTGGGGCTACGCTTTTTTGATGTGGAGGAAAATTGGGAAAGGAAGAAGAAAAGAGGGAAGGAGAAGGGACAAGAAGAGAGATGGGTGGGGGGAGAAGAGGGCAGATAGGAAGAAGGAAGCATCTGAATGCCGCCCTGGGGATGCTTCTGTAGCATTCTCAGTATGAAAAGAGGTGTTGGTTTGAAATACTTAGTGTTCCTGTGATTCCCTTGAGCTGATCCTGATCCCGGGTGGTGGGTCCCAGTTTGTCATGTAATGCCACCAAGGGTTGAATCTAAAAGGCCAGCTTAATATGCTGATGAAAACCTTTCCAGTTGGATCTTAATATAGTGAAGTGAAATCACAGCCCTTAAACATGGCAACCATACATCTGAAGATGGGTCTGAGCCCCACTTTTATGGCATTTTATAACCTTTACTAAAAGCCAGTCATAGGCATGTATCTCAGTATGGTTTAGTTTTTCTATCTTTGTTAAGAATTCACATTTAAATATGTTCACAAATCAAAAAGACCCCCTGTCAAACTATCTTAGTTTGGAAAATCAACAAATGGTACAAATGGTCATTCCCCTCTTCCCCCAGGAAGCAAGCTTCTCAGCTTCAAGAGGACAGTCCCTGAAAACCAAATCTGGGAGCTCCACAAAGCTCCACCCACCAGGAGAGCCAGGCAAAAGCAATGCCGCAACTAGTTTACCAAAACCATGCAATATAACTGAAAGAGGGGACAGCTAAAGTGGAGAATTTTCACTATTAAAGGGAAACCACAAAGATGCAGAAACAAAACCCCATTCATCCGCCTGAACACACTCCAGTCTGTACACGGTCACATTTACCTGCTACCAGCCCGGAGTCACAGAGGAAAGGGCCAGGGAGGGCATGGGCACCTGTATGGGCCCCACACCTGGAATGCAGGCCAGTCTAGGGCTTCTGGGGCTTCCTCTTCTTCTTCCTACACCCCTCCGCTCCACACTTCACCCTGCCTCCCACAGTCTAGCACACCTGCTTGGCAAACAAATCCTACATAGTTCACCAAAACTGCCATACAGGAATCACAGTCTATTAACAGTTTTTCAAATGCCCAATATATATAGCAGAAACGACCTTTTAAACAAAAGAAACCAGCAGATACCTCACCTCAGTGTCATCTACTTCACTTTCCTCAGAAAGGTTGAGTATTTCAATCAATCCCTTGTGCTTTGCACCAGATTCTTTAATTACACCTAAAATAAACAAAATATGTTCTTCAATTACAAAGTAACAACTGGTTTATGCAAAACTGCCCACCCTCCTCACAGGGTACCACCACAGAGGATGACAAGGCAGGCTTAAGGCTTTGCCACCACACAGGTGTTCTCCTGGCCCAAAACAGTGGTAAGGGAACAAGGAAGGTGGAGGCAAAACCTGGCCAATGAGAGTGTACACAACTAGGGGCCAGGTGGAAGCATGAGGGCAAAGGAAGTGGGCCTTTAACCAATGCTTCTGTTTTCCTCTCCCCATATTCTTTACCTGGTCAAAGCAGGATAAAAGGCTATCTTGAAGAGGAGTCACATATGGGATGGGAGGCCAGAAAGGGATAATGAGGTCTAATCAGGGAAAGCATGAGGGGAGGCAGGTGGTGGCTTGGGGAAGATGTGTGTGGACTCCACGTAGCTGGATTTCTCTCAGTACCAAAATGCAGATTTCAGAGACATCAAGACAGCAACATAGGTTATTCCCAACTTCTGTCTCCATCACAAGACCACTAGCAGCTATCCATAGACACCACAGTGAAAACCCCTGAATGCACCCTTGTGGACCAGAGACAAAGGGCCAAACGAGAAGGGCAGGAGAAGTGAAAAAAACTGACCAAATCACCCCTCCCTCATGCCAGCAGTGAGCTGTGGTTTCTTCAGTGGGGAAAAAGGTGGACCTCCAGGTCCCCTAGCATTGGGGGATGGTTCCTAGAAGGCCCACGTGGGTCTCAGCTCACAGGGACCACTGGGAATCAGAAAGACAGAAGCAGGGCAGAACTTCCACTAACCAACACTCAAATCCTGTTGGACCATGTTCCTGCTACAGCAGAGCATGAGCAAAGATCCTGGCCAGTAATTCCACCCATCTGCAGAGCTGAGCTGGTAGCCCTATGTAGCTAGGGAGCTCAGTTGGCAGTTATGCCTGATTAGGATCCCCAGTCAACAGACTGAAACCAGCTCTGGAGCCCATTCTACCACCCCACCCAGTCAAGGAAGCAAATCTGCAGCCCCACTCAACTACTGAGTGTAGTTTCCCGTCATCCGGACCATACAGGAAGCCTGACCAGAGAATCTGGGCAGCCACTGACTCCATCCTCCAGCCCCACTTTGGGCAGGGAGTCAAACCAGCAGCCCTGCCCAATTGTTGAGCACAGTCTCTGGTCCCACATAACCAGGGAGCCAGAACAGTAACCCTAAGCAACCTTGAAGCCCAGCCTACAGACCTACCCAATTGTCAGACACAGCTTCTGGCCTTGTCCAGACAGGGAGCCTAGACAGTGACCCCACCCAAACACAGAACACAGCCCCTAGCCCCGGCAAACTACAGGATACAGCTGGAGGCCCATCCCCACCAGCCATGCCAGCCAGCAATGTTGCTCGACAGCAGAGCATAGCCAGTGGCTCCCTGATCTTGAAGTGAAGCCTGCAGACCTATCCAACTTCAGGGCACAGTCTAATCACAAAGCACAGCCTGAGGCCAGGTCTAATCATGAAGCCCTGCCTATGGTCCTGCCTGAACAGAGTCTAGCCAGCAAAACCATCTGGTCAGGGACCATAGCTTGAGACCCCACCCAACCAGGAGCAATGGTGGAGACCCACCATAGCCCTGCCCAATCATAGAGTCTGCCCAGTAGCACCGCCCTTCCAGGGAACACATCCAGGGACCAGCTCCCAACCAGAGGTGACTGTAAGACGCATGTAGAGGCTCCATGTGACCATGTAGCACAGCCAGCAGGTACAACCCGCCGGGGTGTCTGCTCAGCATCCCTGCTTGAACACAGAGCCCAACCAGCAGACCCACCCAATCAAGGAGCCCAGAGAGTAGAGCCCCAGCTTCCAACCCTGATCAGAGTATGGGCAGCGGCCCCACGCAACTAGAGACCCTGACAGCATGCCCTGCCAACCACAAATGCTACTAGATGACCCACCAACTAACCCAAACTAAGCTGAATGGTGAAGGTCTTTTCCTACTGAAGCAAACCCATAAAGTCTGGAAAAGGAAACCACTTATATATGCCCATACCAACATAAGGAATTAAGGCTCATGAATAATCAGGTAAACATGACACCACCAAAGGAAACTCATAAAGCTCCAATCCTAAAGAAATAGAGATCCACAAACTATGCGTTCTGTAATTAAGAATAAATCTCTTAAAGAAGTTCAGTGAACTATAAGAATACACAGACAAAATTAGGACAATGCATAAACAAAATGAGAAATTCAACAAAGAAACAAAAACCAAAGAAACACAACAGAAATCCTGGAGCTGAATACAATGACTGAACTGAAGAACTCCACAGAAAGCTTTAATAGCTAAACTGACCAAACAGAAGAAAACATTAGTGAAATAGAAAATAGGTTATTTGAAATTAGCGTCATAAAAATATATGAATGTGTAAAACCCATATGAATGTGTATATCCAATGTGTAATGGTAAATATATAGTTAAAGTCAGATCATTAAATATTGCAATGGTGTTGCATAATTCACTTACATCTCTACTTTAAAAGTTAAAACATAATAAAAATAACCATAAATACAATAATTTGTTACTGGACACACAATATGAAAATATGTAAATTGTATTATCAATAATGTACAATCTGAGGAGGGAAGTATAAATTTCTGTATGCTACCAAAGTTGTTAATAACTTAAATAGCACGTTATAAATATATTTCATATAAGCCTCAGGGTAAGCACCTGAGGATAACCCATCTTAGGTATGCAAAAGATTATGATAACGGAGTCAAAGCATACCACCGTGAAAAGGCATCAGATCACCAAGGAAGACAAGAGAGGAAGCAAAGAACACAGGATCTATAAAGCAGTTAGAAAACAAAATGGCAAGTGTAAGTTCTTACCTATCAATAATTACTTTAAACATAAATGGATTACATTCTCCATCAAAAGACAAAGAATAGCTGAATGGATTAAAACAAAAACAAAAAAGATCCAACAATATGCTGCCTATAATACAGAGAGACTCACTTTAACTTTAAAGGGATACACATAAACTGAGAGTGAAGGGATGAAAAAGATATTTCAAGCAAATGGTAACCCCCCTCAAAAAGGAGTAGCTATACTTGTATTAGACAAAATACTAAGAAAAAATGGTAAAAAAAAAAAACAAAAACAAAAAACTAAAGGAGATTATTATATAATGCTGAAGGGATTGATTCATTCGGAAGATAGAACAATAGTAAATATTTATGTACCCAACATTGAAGCAGCTAAATATGTAAAGGAAATACTAGCAGAACAAGAAGAAATAAACAGCAATACAGTAATAGCTGGGGACTCTAATACCCCATGATCAATAATGGAGAGATTATCCAGACAAAAAAAAAATCTGTAAGGAACAGCAGATTTAAACATTATAGACCAAATGGACCTCACACACATATATAAAACAGTCCATTAAACAGCAACAGAATACACATTCTTCTCAAGGATCCATGGAACGTCTTCTAGGATAAATCATGTTAGGACACAAAACATGTCTCAACAAATTAAAAAATATAGAAATTATAGTATCTTTTCAAACCATAATGGTAGGAAACTGGAAATTAGTAACAGGAGGAAAGTTGAAAAACTCACAAATACATGGAAATAAATAAAACATTCCTGAATAACCAATAGCTCAGAGAAATCAAAAGGGGAATTTTAAAAATACCTTGAGTCAAGTGAAAATAGAAACAACATACCAAAACCTACGGGATGCAGCAAAAGCAGTTCTAAACTGGAAATTTTTAGTGCTGAACATATACGTCAAGGGGGGAAAAATAAGATTTCAAATAAAGAACCTAACTTTGTCTCAAAGAGTTAGGAAAAACATACTAAGCCCAAAATTAGCACACGAAAGCAAATAAGAAGCATCTATAGGGGTGCCTGGATGGCTCAGTTGGTTCAGCGGCTGCCTTCAGCTCAGGTCATGATCCCAGGGTCCTGGGATCAAGCCCCGCATCGGGCTCTCTGCTCAGGGGGGAGCCTGCTTCTCCCTCTCCCTCTGGCTGCCTCTCTGCCTACTTGTGCTGTCAAATAAAAAATAAAATCTTTAAAAAAAAAAAAAAAGCAGCATCTATAGATTCCATATAAACTTATCAAAATGTCAATGGAATTTTTCACAGAAAAAGAACAATTCTAAAATTTGTGTGAAACCACAAAACACCTCAAACACCCAAAACAATCCTAAGAAAGAACAAAGCTGGAGGCATCACAACTCCTGATATCAAAATTTACTACAAAGCTACAGTGATCAAAACCGTATGGTATTGACATAAAAACAGACACAGAGACCAATGGAATGGAATCAAGAGCCCAGAAATAAACCCATGCATATATGATCAACTAATATTTGACAAGAGAGGCAAAAATACTCAGTGGTAAAAGGTAGTCTTTCATTAAACAGTCCTAGGGAAATGTCACAGTCACATGCAAAACAATGAAACTGGACTCTTATCTTGCAACACTTACAAAAATTAACTTAATGTGGATTAAAGATCAGAAACCATAAAACTCCTAGAAGAAAACACTGGTCTTTGCAATAATTTTTGGATAGGACACCAAAAGCACAAGCAACAAGAGCAAAACAAGTAGGACTATATCAAACTAAAAAGCTCCTGCAGGGCGCCTGAGTGGCTCCGTGGGTTAAAGCCTCTGCCTTCGGCTGGGGTCATGATCTCAGGCTCCCGGGATCGAGCCTGCATCAGGCTCTCTGCTCAGCAGGGAGCCTGCTTCCTCCTCTCTCTCTCTCTGCCTGCCTCTCTGCCTACTTGTGATCTGTCAAATAAATAAATAAAAATCTTAAAAAAAAAAAAAAAAGCTCCTGCAACTAAAACAATCACTAGCAAAAGGAAAGGGCAACCTGCAGAATGGAAGCAGAATGGAAGAAAATATTTGCAAACCTTATCTGATAAGAAGTTAATACCCATTATGCTAAGCGAAGTAAGTCAATCAGTGAAAGAGGAATTTGAGAAACAAGACAGA